ATTGACTTTTGCTTTTGTCTTTATTATTCCTGCCTTCTACTTACCTTGGGTTTAACTCACTGTTCTTACATCAAAGAATTTAAAACTATAAATTTTCTTCTAAATACCTGCCATTTTTATCATATCCCACACTATGGAATTCTCCATTGGGGGGAAAATGGCAGAAAAATGATTCAAGGTAAAGAGATGCATATCTTTTAAGTAAAAGATTCTATGAAATAAATTTCAGAGGCTTGCACAGCCTAAAAGTTCAAGGTTTGTGGTGAAATTTTATGTTTCAAAAACATAAGATGAGGGAGTCCCCTGATGGTGGTTAGGACTCTGTGCTTCCACTGCAAGTATTTCAGCATTTATCCCTGGTCAGGGAGCTAAGATCCCATAAGCTGTGTGAAAGTGAAAGTCGCTCCGTTGTGTCCGACTCTTTGCGACCCCATGGACTATACAGTCCATGGAATTCTCCAGGCCAGAATACTGGAGTGGGTAGCCTTTCCCTTCTCCAGGGGATCTTCCCAACCCAGGGATTGAACCCAGGTCTCCTGCATTGCAGGCAGATTCTTTACCGCTGTGTAGTGTGACCCAAGAACAAAGTAAGATGGGGATAATAATGCCTGGCCTACCTAAATCAAGAGATGGTTGTGAGGGTCTGATGAGAAATGCTTCCTTCCAGAAAGCATTTTATTTTTATTTTCTTTATAATATTTTCTATTTCCTTTATAATATGACTCAGAAATTTCACTTAGTCACAAATACTCATTGAACGCATTCTAATGTGCAGATGCTGGATATTCAGAGAAAACATTTATCTACAAAGGCAAATGAATGAGACAAGTAGTTAGAAAGCTTCCTAAGCAAGGGTTGTTGCTATGAGAGAATGAGGCCTATGAGAGAATAAGGCCAGGTCTGCCCAAGCAGTGAAAAGCATTATTTTTTTTTGCCATTATGTACATCTAAGATATATATATATATATGAATGCATGTCTATTAGTAGCCATTTAAAAACTATAATGATTCAGAAAATTCAGCAAGAAATGAAATCTTACAGCAAAGTAAATTTATCCATCTAGATTTATTCTTTCTTCCCAAAGATTTTCAAAATAGTCTCTGTTGAGAACAATACTACACCACTAAGGAGCTGAAGTATTTAATAAGCTAAAATAATGTATCATATGTAAAAGTACTTTTTATATAATACCCGTATGCTGTGTGGTGCTAAGTTGCTTCAGTAGTGTCCGACTCTTTGCCACGCCATGAACTGTAGCCTGCCAGGCTCCTCTGTCCATGGGATTCTCCTGGCAAGAATACTGGAGTGGGTTGAAATTCCCTCCTCCAGGGATAGTAACTGTATATGTACACATAAATATGTATTTTTTAACCTTTTTTTAAATGATCATGACTATATTCCAAACGTGATTGGGTATTGCTGATTGAATGAGTGAACCAATAAGAAAATAAGGACCTATTTTTTAAGGACAAGGATAACAATTTTTCAAAAGAATTGCAGTTATCCTTGATTATACTTATAATAAAGACATAAGTAATATGAATGTATACTTATATACTTCAGGGTTTATCCTGTCCTTTGTAGGTATTTAAGGCGTCCCTGGTGGCTCAGACGGTAAAGCGTCTGTCTGCAGTGCCGGAGACCCGGGTTCGATCCCTGGGTTGGGAAGATCCCCTGGAGAAGGAAATAGAAACCCACTCTCGTACTCTTGCCTGGAAAATTCCATGGGCAGAGAGCCTGGTAGGCTACAGTCCATGGGGACGCAAAGAGTCGGACACGACTGAGCGATTTCACTTTCACTTTCACTTTATAGGTATTGAAGGTTCTTTTATTGGAGAAGGAAATGGCAACCCCCTCCGGTGTCCTTGCCTGGAGAATCCCAGGGACGGGGGAGCCTGGTGGGCTGCCGTCTATGGGGTCGACAGAGGCGGACACGACCGAAGCGACTCAGCAGCAGCAGCAAGGTTCTTTTATCCTTTGTTTTCTTCAATTTCACTGATCACTGTACTGGCATTTCCATCAGAAAGTGTAAAATGGGAGGGAAATGAAAGCTGATAAACATAGTATATGTGAGTTTGACTCCTAAAAGTAAGAGAGGAAGTCAAAAGAACAAATAAAATTAGGTCTGTGGGGTTCTCATCTGTGCTATTCCCAGTCCTCGTCACCACAGTCTGGAATATACTCACATAACTCTATAATTTCTGGCTTCAAGAGTTTCTGAGATATCAGTACGAATACATTTTATTTGAAAATCAGTAACAATTCCTTCTTTTAGAAAGTGCTTCTTAATGTAGCTAAGGAGAAATATTAATTGATCATTAGAACTCTGACAGTTGTTTTGTTTTGTGAATAAAAATGAAGAAATGCCCTCCCCCAGAGAGTACTAGAAGCAACTTTTATGTTCCCATTGTGTCTTTTACACTGCTATTTTCATTATTACAGGGTTGTATTTAATTATTTATCAGTCAGTCCTCCCCTTGACTGAAAACTTTTTGAAGGAAGATTTGCCTTTCATTTTTGTAGCCTTGGGTTCTTAGTACGGTTAGACACTATTCATAAGTGAAAGAACAAATAAATAGAAGATCACTGAGATTTATATGAGTTAGCCAGAGTTCTGTTTCTCTAAACACTGTAAATCCACCCAAAGTGGGTTGATAAAATGTCTCCTGTTTGGAACAACCCAGCTTCCTTAACTTCAAGAAACTCTGAATAAAAATATATCCCCTCCCTTTTGTATCTCTGTTATCTAATGCAATATAAGAGTATGAAACCATTATATTACCTACTATGTCTTAGTGTAAGATGTCTTTCCAATAAACTGAAAGCTAGAATATGCTATCTTGCCAGTGAATACCAAAGCAGAGTTATTACAAGTCCCAAATACAATTAAAGAAGTTCCCCTTCCAAAGAAGTTAGACTAAATAGCTTACACTATGTAATTATAATAATTGAATATTCTGAGTAATGATTATTCAGAGACTCAGATACATTCTTGATGAAAAATGATCAAATAGAGTGCTCTATTTTTAACTTAGGTCTTCAGAGGGCTTATTATTTTGAAATCAAATCTATTAAACCTTGTGAATACATTATTCCTCATTAAGATTCCTTTTGAATTCATTTGACATGTTAAAGACAGTGTATCAGTAAGTAATTTATAAGTAAGAATCATTTTATAATATTTATCTTAGGTATTAAAGTGAATAGAACATAAGAATGGAAAGGAGATATAAGTAACTGACAGAGTTAGACTACAGGAGAAACTCCCAAGGTTAATTTTAGTACTTTTAGAACACTCTTATCTCACCATCTAAATAATCTTACTAAATAGCTTATTTTGCAAAATACTTTGGTTAATAAGTCACCTCATTTCATAAGGAGCAATTGCTGAGGTTAGAAATTGCAACCAAAAAAAGACAAAACAATTATGCATCCTTAGTTGAATCAATATAGAACTGTATAAAATGAGTCTATATAAATTTGCTCCTGGTGATCCATAAACCATTATAAAATATAAAGCGTGATTATTATACTATCATATGTGTAAAACATTTTGCCTAATCCATTTCTCACTTATGGTGGCTATGTGCAAAATTCCTGCTACCACAAAACGATATCAGGACAAAATGGTGGTTTTCAAATAGTTTTGTTTGTTGGCCCCAAGGAGAGTTCCTTCCAAACAAAATCCTCAAATAAATCCATCACTCCAAAAAGAGTTGGAGGAAAGTTCTACATTGTTCTTGGACCAGGGAAAGAGACATGGCTGTTTTAAGTTTTAGGAGGCAGTAAATGTAGTATTGAAAGCTATAAACAAACAGTTAGGAAACTGAGAGTACAAAGTTATCATCAATGATGGTAGATTATTTGTCGAGACATCTGCCCCCAAAAGAATTTTTAACATGCTCTTGTACTTAACCAGTTGTCACAAAACACTAACCAGTCATTACCAAATAGATCAATTAAAATATATGCTATGATTGCTTAATCTAAGCAACATAATGCCAGAAATTTGAAAATTTTAATTATTCCCAAAATGTACATTCATAGTGTTTATTAAGCAAAGAAATTAGCTGCTACTTCACATCATGTATATGAAGTAGTAAATAACCCTTGCAATATGTCACTAAATGTAATTAACAACAGTGTATTTATCGTCACTTAGTATATGTATATACAACAATGACTAATCATTGTAAAAAGTCATCAAATACAAGCTTTTCTCTGATTTTAATCAATTCATATGATAAATTTTAAATCACAGAATACAGCATTTTCTTTTTAATTTTTCTTATAAAATGCTAGGGAGTGCAATTACCATTCAAACAGTCATGCTAATATATTTTCAAATCTTCCTGATCTATGAAAGTAGTTTAAATTTACATCTATTTCTTTTCCTATCTTAGGTTTCAGCAATATCACAATTTTCTGAAATATAAACAGAGATAATTTTGTCCCATTCTTCTCTAATTACAAATATATACAGGTATAGAGCCACTTAAATTTTTACCCATCTTATTTTAGCTGTATTTTGAAAAAAAATCTTTATACTTTCTTTTTCAAAAAGTAACAGTAAGCGATTTGTGTGAAATAGTTGTAATGGAAAGGAATGCAAGCATTTTTAACATAGTAAATGTTACTTTATCTATAAAGTAATTCCAGGATGTAAAAGCATACTTAAAGCTATTTTGAAGGAGCCTTTCAAAGAGCAACATCATACAGTGAAATTGTTGTAAATTCAATGTTTGAAAGCTAGACTACAGATTTTAAGTATTTCTTTTCATTTTTTTTCATTTCAGTATTGCATGCTACAATACTTAAGGACTGTAAGGTACTGTACCATGTAAAAGTCAACTAAAATTACAATTTCATTTTATTAGCTTTCCAGACATAGAACTTCAGCCCTCACAGCACATATCCAAAAATAAGGCCTTTCCTGTAACCATTAACCGATACAATTTTTAAAAATTAAAAAAAGGAAAAGTAAATTATAATTACTCACCTTTTGGTGTCTTGAAATATTCTGGCAAAATTAAAATGAACGTGATCACTATGGCCAAAAGTAATTTAAGGAGGGCTGTTTTTGTCATGTCTCTTCACATGGTACATGTGTTCCCATCAAGTACATCGACGGCATGTTTCTTCCTGGTTTACATTTCATCTCTGCGGCACTTATGCGGCTTACCCCGTGCTCACTTCCTCTTGGGTAAGACTTTATAAAAAGGAGACCTAGAACTGAGACTTCTTCATTTTGAGTCACTTTCCACTAACAAGACTGTTTTGTAACAAGCACTTTCAAACTGTCTTCTAAACAAGACAGTGAAGAGACAAAGTCAGGCAATGAAGGGGTTTGTCCTCATGTAAATCTGAAGCTGTTTTCCTATGCTTACCAGTCTGTGTGAGTAAGTATAAACCCACAATATACTCATCAAAAATGAAATGAATGAATGTCTGTTATGTCCAGTTGTAAAAACATCATTCATTCATTTACTTATTAAGCGATGATTGAATCCCTTATTTATTTATTTGCCAGGCCACAAGCTTGCAGGATCTTCGTTCCCTGACCCTTGGCAGTGAAAGTGTGGAGTTCCAATCATTGGCCTGCCAGGGAATTCCCTATTGACCCCCTTTAAAGTGCTAGCTCTGTCCTGTGTTCTGGTGTTCAAAAAACAAAATGTCTAGAAAACAGTAAATAGCACAAAATATAAGGATAAATGAAAGACCTGTAAAATTCTGGTTTTACTTTTCTACACTGCATGTGTGTGTGTGTGTGCAGCCATGTCCAACTCTTTGAGACTCCATGGACTGTAGCCTGCCAGCCTCCTCTATCCGTGGAATTTTCCAGACAAGAATACTGGATTGGGTTGCCATTTCCTTCTCCAGGTAATCTTCCCAACCCAGATATCGAACCCACATCTCTTGCATCTCCTGCATTGGAAGGTGGAGTCTTTACCACTGCACCACCAAAAGCAGTAAAATGGGACTCATTAAACCTAAAGCAATGTGATTACTGTTACAGAATCCACGTGTTCAGTTCCCCTTTAAAGAAAAAAAAAGAAAAAGATCNCAGTTCCCCTTTAAAAAAAAAAAAAGATCTTTCATTATGACAATCCAAGTGAAACAAAATGCATTGTCTTAGAATAATAAAGGGTAGGCAAAATTCATGGTGAATAAAGAATAGGTACAAACAAGTACTTTTATTCCCATGTTCTTGTTTTCTGACTTTAAAAAAGAAAAGTGGTAGCAGATATCTCCAATCTTTCCTCCTGCTCACTTCATCTTGTACTCTCACCACCCCTCCATTTCCATTTATCCTATTTCTTGTTCTTACCCACTCAGCCCTAGGCTTTATGGAACAACAGGTGAGCTGGGGATAGGAATCAGGAAACAAAGGTTGTCCTGTGAATATATATTGCGAATATGAATTAACTGTTTTTCTTCTGATTGGGTGCAACAATTTGAAGGACAAATCGGAATCATGGATAAAGGGACTTTAGGACCTGAGTCTAAGAATAGTCAAAACTGGAGTGTGACTTCAAATATAAGACTTATTTTATGAACAGCAGTAAGGACCATTCAAAGGAAGAGAGGAACTGATGAGAGTTATGGCCTGCACCAATTAATGGATTGAGACATACCAGATTACAGGTCAGGCAGTGTCTCCAGCAGAGATGCTGGTAGGGATGGGTGGGAAACCCTGTTCATTCATTCTCACAGGTGTCACTGAGTGCTCAGTGGAGCCTCTACTTCCCATTTTCACCCTGTTTTGATTCCCTCAGACATTCTAAGTCTCATTTATGAATACAAACATTCCAATCATAACTTTACCAATGAAGATGAAATTGATCAAGAAAGTTTTAATTGACATAAAACCATTGTCAGTTTAATTCCTGGATGAATTTCCTTAGAAGAGCAGTTAAACAACTTCTATGTTTTTCCTCTTTAATTTTGATTTTACTGAAACTACTTTTTGTTAGTATCTGACCTTTTCTATGAACAACACTGCTTTAGCTCATTTACTAATTCTTTCGTCCTTACTAAATTCTATGGATTTGTGAGTTTTGTGCATGTGTGATAGTATGTCTTGTAGATCTACTTCTTTCCTTCCTACCCTCTTCCACCCAATATGAACTTAGGCTGGCAATCCTATCCTAGAACACCTGGAAAACAGACTTCCCTAGCAGCTCAATGGGTGCTCTGTCAATGATGGGCTGTTTCACATTCTTTGCAGCTGGCTTTCCCTGGTGCTGTATAGATGGTGGATGTCAGGAGACCAGTCTAGGGTCCCTTAGTCCCAGGTCATGCCTGGCTGCTCTGAGGATGTAGGGGATCAGAGTCTCATGTGCATCCGTGCATGCTGCATGCTCAGTCGTGTCCATCCCTTTGCAACTCCATGAACTGTAGCCTGCCAGGCTCCTCTGTGCATGGAGTTTGCCAGCAAGACTACTGGAGTGGACTGTCATTTTCTACTCCAAGGGATCTTCCCGACCCAGGGATTGAACCTGGATCACTAGTGTCTTCTGCCTTGGCAGGCAGATTCTTTACCACTGCGCCACCCGGGAGCGTCTCATCACTGGTCTACAATCCATCTGCTGGATACAAGTGTGTCATCTCTGAGTTAGAAAATCATGAGAAAATTATTACATGCCCTCAGATATTTCAGGAATCTTTTGTTGTCCTCAATTGTTCTCTTATATTTTCATCTAAGTTTTATAAATACTTTTGATCATTTTGCCTACAGTTACTAACTGCTTAAAGGGTTAGCAGAACAATAATCAACAAGTTCCAAGTATCCCCTGGGTCAAATCCTCCAAGATTCAATAGCAAGGGTGAAAAGGGTTGAAGTGTCTTACTTTTTCTGTCATGATTCATCCATTGAAATGTTTTATTACAGAAACCTGCTACATAAAATACATCACTAAATACTTGCATTTTAAACACCACCAATCCCTAAAATTTAAGAATTAGGCTGCAGTTTCTTGAAGGTAATCCAACTTAAAATGATAGTGCCTTGATTGGTTGGTTGGTTTAGTCACTAAGTTGTGTCTGATTCTTGTGACCTCATGGACTGTAGCCCACCAGGCTCCTCCGTCCATGGGATTTCCCAGGCAAGAATACTGGTGTGGGTTCCCATTACCTTATCCGATAGTGCCTTAGAAATAAATAAACATGGGTTGTGCTCACTTTGGATTTTATCTAACTTTTTATTTTGAAGGCAGAACTGAATCAACAGAAAAGTTAGAAACAAGTAGATAAGCATCTAGTGGTGTGTAGGAAATTTTCTTTAACAATGTTGTTTGTGACTTCGGAGGACAGAGATGTATTAAGCTCTAAACCTCTAAGTGTATGACTCTGACATTGTTAGAATTCAGTGTGGATATTTACCCTAAGGAATTGTGAGAGCCCAAGTGACTCCCAGAGCTTGAGAAGCGGGTAAGGGACACTCTTCTTTAGATGTTTCCCTTTTGCATCTGTTCTCTTGTCTCTCTCATATTTCTGTACCATCACCTCTCTGTCAGCAAAATGTGAAAGCCCTGCAGAATAAGTTATTCCTAAAGATTATTTGATTTTTAATGGTCCATAGATAGATCAAAATTTATTTAACCATATGCAACTTATGTCATTAAAATTTTTTTATATAACACCACAGTGTGAATAGTCACATGCATGTATCTTTGTGCAAGTCTAATTACAAAGTTTAATTATGAAGACAAACAGTATGAAGATTTTTGAGGTTCTTAATTCATATAGACTGCTGTCTCTGAGAAAAACTATGTCAACCTATACTCTGCCCACAGTGGATGAGACTGCCCTGTATCACCACACTTAACACTGGCCTTTTATTCTTTTAATCTTTGTCAATTTGAAAGGAAAAAAGAATGAAAAACTTGTTTTAATTTGGTTACTATTAAGTCAGAATATCTTCCAGATTTTCTGGCTGTTTGAATTTCTCCTCTTGTGAATTGCCTCATCATGTCTTTTTTGGGAGCACTCATCGTCTTGTTGTTGCTTTAGAGGCCTCTCTATTGGGAATACGTATCTTTTGCCATATGTGTTGTAGACATTTTCCCCAGGTTGTCATGTTCCTTTTTGTTTTGTATGCAGTTCAGTTCAGCTGTTCAGTTGTGCCCGACTCTGCAACCCCATGAACCGGAGCAAGCCAGGCTTCCCGGTCCATCACCAACTCCCAGAGTCCACCCAAATCCATGTCTGTTGAGTTGGTGATGCCATCCAACCATCTCATCCTCTGTCATCCTCTTCTCCTCCTGCCTTCAATATTTCCCAAAATCAGGGTATTTTCAAATGAGTCAGCTCTTCGCATCACGTGGCCAAAGTATTGGAGTTTCAGCTTCAGCACCAGTCCTTCCAAGAATATTCAGGATTGATTTCCTTTAGGAT